TAAAATGTTTTTAATTGTGTACCAGTTTAACATTGAATATTATTTATGATTTCAACAATACTCACCTATCACACATGATAACACTTTAAAACAAGTTTTTTTATCTTTCGTTTAGAATATCAATTACTTTTTTAAACTTATCTATTTGAGATGCATACTTTCATTATAGTTAAGAACATACAGGATGAAGAAAGTTTGTAATTAACACAAAAAACAAAACATTAAGCTCTAATCCTTTTGATAAACGTACTTGTTAAAAGCATTAGTTTTATATTTTTTCACACACACGCACCATTTTTTTTTGTAGATTTATTACATATTTTTTTTTCAAAAACCTTGATAACTACAATATACATCCATCTTAATTTATCTAGTTAATATAAGGAAATAGTTTCTCTATAAAACTAATACAAAGTAAACTTTGTTAACTAATGTAATCCAACTTCTTATGTCTCGTTCATGAAATTCACAGTGGTTTTCCTTTCATTTATCTATCAAAGTTATTTTTTAATCCAGTTATCTAAAATAATTACCTTCTCTGTTTAGTAAAACCTACCTATGCCTTTCTTGATTCGATTATTACATGCCACAGTCAGCTTGAAGAACTGAAATAATTCTCCGTCGATCATTTTTTCCTTCTTTGTTTTTTTGTTTCTTCCTCGACTTGAAACATTCATTTTATGATCTAGGATCCGTTTACCCTGGTTGAGTAATGTGTCTGCCTGATCTAAGAGAAAATTGTTTCCAATCTAAAGTAGAAAATGGAAAAGCATAGTTTTTGTTTTACAAATAACACACCTTCTTCTCTTACCATATACAATGAGTGGCTACTTATTATTACCCCTACCTAATACTGAAATTGATATTACATATATCAGATATTCTAACGATTTAATTGCAGTGGTATGGGCATGTGATGAGGAGGGAAGATGATTATATAGGCAAGAGGGTTTTGGAGGTGGAGGGGAGAAGGAAGAGAGGAAGACCAAGGAGAAGATGGAAGGATTGTGTGGATGGAGATATTAGGGAGAAATGACTTGTTGGGGACGAATACGAAGATCGAGGAGAGTGGAAACGTGCTGTCAAAAATAGCGACCCCGTATAGATACGGGAAAAGCTACAGAAGAAGAAGAAGTCAAAGTTGTTTGCAGAAACAAACTTGCATTGTTCTATTTTTATGAAGTAACAAAAATTGACAAAATCCTAAAGCAATGTTCATTTAGATATTTAGTTTTGTAAAGTTCATAGTTATGTTATTAAATAAATTTATACAAAGGATTAAGTTAAAAATTAGAGTTTTCACTGGACTGCTACTTGAGATGTTTCAGCTTCCATGTTGGTATCATCTTTATGACTTAATAAAAACAATATTGAAATAAAGCAACAGAGTCGTCTGAAGAAAGGTGAAAGACACTACATAAAGTGATAAAATACAAGATCAGGCTAACTCTTGGTCCACGAAGGTCCTGTTTAACAAATCGAAACAACATAAAAGGTTAGAGAGCAGAAGAATAAATAAAGACAGTATAGAAGTAACTATCAGTTATTTCATTTCCACTGTAACTAGAAATCCAACAAAAAATAATCAGTTGATAGTTTCTTATAGTACAGTTGTGGAGGAAACAGTTCATCCAAAGCAGACAGAGGAGAAAGAATCCTTAAAGAACTAATAAAAGCAAAATGTATGGAAACAGGAAGACCTAACACTAATCTCTTATTCTAACCTAAGAATTATCGAAACAGTAAATGAAGATTCTTAAAAAAAGTTTTTATTAGAGCTTTCACAAGTTAAATAGAATGTGCTCGTAGTTTGAAAATGCTGGACCCAGACGTTTATAATCAGCACAATTGAATTTCTAAGTCAACAATATAACGTGAACACAAGAAGTTGAGAAGAAACATAAACCCAACATGGTAAATAATCAATAGATCTATTTAATAATAGGCCCGGCATGGCCAGGTGGTTAGGGAGCTCGACTCGCAATCTGCGGGTTTGATTCCCTGTCCCACCAAACATGCTTGCCTCTTTCAGCCGTGGGGGCATTATAATGTGACGGTCAATCCCACTATTTGTTGGTAAAAGAGTTGGTGGTGGGTGGTGATGACTATCTGCCTTTCCTCTAGTCTTACACTGCTAAATTAGGTATGGTTAGTGCAGATAGCCCTCGTGTAGCTTTGCGCGAAATTCAAAACAAACAAACAATAAATTAATTTCTTGCCATAGTTTTTTATATGGCCAATTAGTACAGCGATAATTATTTTATACTTTCAGTTGTGTGTTATCTTTCTTTGCTCGAAAATTCAAAACAAACTTAATAATAAAACAATTTCAAACTGTCTGATTAAGTATGACTCACAACACTTACAAGCTTTAACTGAGTTTCAAGTATTATGCATTTTAAGTTTTCAGGACAACTGCCCAGTATTTTCTGGTCTTAGCTTAGCATAGATGAAAAATACAAATTTCAATTTGACCGGTAAATTCTATTAATATGTAGTAACATCAGTGGTTAACTAAATGGTAATTTTTATTAGCTTTTTTTATGAGTTATTTTTGTACTTAAAGAATTTTAAAACACAAACAAACAAATTTATTAAACTCCAAATCCATTGTATTCTGAGCTATGGTTGATGGTCATTGTGTGAATATGTTATCCTCATTACTTTGTTCAGCAAATTGTTGATGAATGAATGTTTTGAGTGTGCCTGTAAACCGAATATGGGGATTACACAGTGGCTAACTAGTTTTACTATTAGAAACTAACTTGATTTGTTGCATTACGGGAAATGGAGCATGTAAAGTCAACATGTAAAAACCTTCTAGAAATTCTTCTTAAAAGAAATGTTTATGTCAAACAAAACAATCTCTTTGATGGCATCATTAACTAAGAATGTGAACAGGATCACTGTGTAAAACCAGACTGAAGCTTCCTGATAATCAATTCATTGATTGTGTCAGCAAGCACGCAGGTTTTATGATTTACAGAAAGCACAAGTGGCAATAGAAAGATGCACTGAAATCATTCAAGAACCACCACAACATATAATAACAAGGGCCCTTCAAAATAATTCAGATACAGCAACTGTATGATTATCTACAACTGGGTAATTAGAATTTGTTGGTCAATTAATCAACAGTCCCAGTATTAAATTACACTTGATTAATCTATTAGTTTAGTATTCCTCAAATATTGGCAGTGGGAGACTGCCAACCTAAAATATGTTGGTTGTGGGGGCTACCAGCTAGTTACTTTCCTTCCAGTCAGCAGTTGAAAATAGAGAAAAAGTAAAAAAAAATGTTAGCAGCAGGAGCAACCAGATTAGTTTCATTCCCTCACATCATCCCTCCTATCATCTCGCATTTTCCAGCAAAGAGATTGTAAGAAGCATAGTTACAAGTCTGACTACAAATTTGCAAAGTAATTTAGGAAACCGATACGACTTCAGTAATTTCAGAGGCTGAATATAAGAAACAAAAGGAGTCTTTTTATAGTAGAATAATAACAAGAGCCATCTTTATAAACACCCAGATAATCATTACAGCTATTGATGTAAACGAGACAATTAGGTGTTAATGGCATAGTGTAAGGTTGCTCAGAGAAGGTGATATTAACAGAAATGTTGCCAAGCAATCAAGGAGATAGGGGAATCTCAAGCAATCTGAGGTTCCCATGGTTGTTAAAGAAAGGATGGTGCATCTTAAAAAAATAATCTCATAACATATCAGTCAGTTGGGTTGAGAAATGGGGACCAAGGAAGGTTAGATCAATAGTGAAAGACTGGATAGATTGTCTAGTATGTGAAACTGACTTATAACCTTGTTGACAAGTAAAATACAGGCAGTACAGAGTTAAAGGAGCTTCAAAGACAATTGTATTAAGGCTTAAGTAGTAATACAATACTTAAGCAGAATTCTGAACAAAAACATGTTTGTGAAGTACAAAAAAAAGGTTAGAATTATACAAAACAATCCATAGTCCAGAAATAAACTGTGATATATTCAAAATCGTGGGGTTTTCTTCCTTCAGGAGGACCTAAAGTGGATTTGAACAAAGTTGCAATTTTCTGGTAGTCATTAACTAAAGTGGCCTGGCATGGCCAAGTGATTAGGGAGCTCTACTCGCAATCTGCGGGTTCGAATCCCCGTCCAACCAAACATGCTAGCCCTTTCAGCAGTGGGGGTGTTATAATGTGATGATCAATCCCACTATTTGTTGATAAAAGATTTGGCGGTGGGTGGTGATGACTAGCTGCCTTCCACGTAGTCTTACACTGCTAAATTAGAGACGGCTAGCATAGATAGCCCTCGTGTAGCTTTTCGAGAAATTCAAAACAAACATTAACTAAAGAAGAAATATAAGCATTTCAAAACCATTGCTTAACAAGCATTATAATGAATACTTGAATTAACTAGCCATTGAAACATTCAAGCCACAGATACAACATGTCTGATTAGATATAGACCTATGGTGGGAAACATCACGTATGGGACTCCTAGTCATATGTCTAGAATTGAATTTCTCACAGTAATAAATTTCTTGTTTTATTTTTGTCAGATATAAAAGACTGTTTAATGTAGGTAATGTTATTAATGTATTTATTTTGTGTTTGTAGTTCATTTATGTAGAGGCTATAGAGATTTCTAGAAGGCTTAAGTGATAGATGTATAAATAGCGGTGACAAGACGAGCGGAAACAGAGAGAGTAAAAAGTAAACTCATGGGAAAGAGAATTTCTGTGAGAGAAGAGTTAGAAAACTCAAAGTTAACTGTCGTTGATATGTCAGAGTGAGATTAGTAGTTTAAAAGAGATAAGGATAATAATTTATCTTGTCAAAGGGTGTTCCAAGCTAATTGAACCCGCCTGTGTGGACTTTGGAGGAAGTAAAGTGCGTGAATCGTTGTGAATTATAGCGTGTGTTTAAGTTAAAGAGACTGTGGAAATTAAGTGTATTGCAGAGTTGAATTGAGAAAGAATAAACTAGTTTTATTTAAGAAAAGACTTGTATCTCTGAAGTTTCTCGGAAAGAATTTCTACAAATAAATTAACAAACGACCAGAGACGTAACAGCTTCTTTATGGAATTTCGAGGATATTCCATTTTAGATTTTTATAATGACACTACATTTTTTTTTACCTGGACTTCTCAGGTGTTGTTAACGTGCTAACTTATACAGGGGAAGGGGCTGGAGTGCCAACTTTAGGAGACAAAGTTTACTCATCACCCTATTTACCTGTTGCAGTAACTTGCTTGAATTGTGAATACAAGGGTTTGTAGTTCACGTCATATTGCCAGAAAAATAAGCTCTGCTTTTGGGGTTATGTGGTTGCCTATAACAGTGATGGTCTCATCCCACTATTTAGTAAGAGTATCACAAAAGTTGGTGATGGGTGCTGTTGGCTGCTTTCCCTTTATCTTCAATCCATTTCAAAATTAGAGAATTTTTGCACAAATAATCCTTGTGTAGGACTAGGCATGGTCTAGTGCAGGGGTCACCAAACTTTTTCACAGCGGGCCAGATAACTGAG